CTCCACACCAAGGTAAGATTGGAGAAGAAATGAGTGACCTTGAGGAAGTAAGATTGCTAGATGTTTTCCTCAAGTGTGGCCGGCCATTTCTAGAGAGAAAGAGAGTTTTTGTTTCTCCAATTTCCCCATAAACAAACCTTAATGAATTTTGGTTATTAAGTCACACTTATACCTTAATTCATTTGAGTGGCAAACTTGTAAATAAGTCAAAACCCACTCTTTCTCTAAATGGCCGGCCTTAGGGTATTCATTGGGCTATTTGGGCCTTTGTGAATCATTATTCATTAAGTTGTCATACAACTTAAGTCAATGGACTTGACGTTCGAAGCCCATTGGGCCTTAAGGTCCAAAACTATCCCGAGGTCTTCAACGAACTTATTCGTTTGATTAATAATCATATTAATTAATCCTTGCCATAAATAATTAAACCATTTAATTATTCTTACTCATCTCCGTTGAATCTTCAATCTCTACCTTACACGGTGTACGATCCATTAGGTTCCTTTTAGCGAGGCAGTGGGCGATTCAAACTCTTTCAAATCGATTGTGAATTGAAACTTACTTTCAATTCTCCCGTTAGTGATAATACACTTTTAGGGCTTCCACAAACCATGGTTGACGCCTAGCAGCATGTCATGGTTACCCAAGCTAATCAGAAGAGGTGGAGAACCTATTCAGTTTTAGGATTACAAATGCAATACGGTCTTTCTCTAATACAATACTCTTGACCACATTGTTTGGTTTGATAGTTTATTCATGTCTACTATCCAATGTGAGTCTTGTGCTTATATGATTACCTTGAATGTGATTTGGAACACATTCCTAAATCTCATTCATACTTTGGCCAAAGATTCTTAATCATATCATAGAGTATTCTCCCTCAAACAGTTTGAAGGTTAGAGATCCCTTGTTGCGCATTCACTTGCCTCCATGGCTAAGTGGCTTAACCCCAACAATGCCGTGGACACCCTCCTGATGGAGTGACTTTGACATAATCAAAGATTAAGGACCTAACCACAAGACAACTGTGATGCCTCAGGTCAAAAGACTAATTTGCATTATCCCAACCATGAGTTCTCATGTGACATGAATATGAGAACTCTTCGTTGATCGTGTTCAGTGAACTCATTCTCTATTGAGCACCTACGTACTTGTCTTGATGTCACACACACCAATGACTCGAGACTAGTCACTCTCCCTGAGAGAAGACATAGCACGTACTAATCTTAACGGACTGTCAATGCCCAATTGACAATCCTATGATCAGGAACGTTTAGGATGTGTCAACGAAAGAATGGTCTCATGAATCTAACTTCTTTAGATCGCATTCTTCCAATCACATATTCCTTGGACTTATCGTTTAAGCATATAACATTTATATGAGACGGCTCAAACAATAATCTTTGCCCTTTACATTTAAACTACATTAGTTTGAAATGTCCGTAAAGTATCATCATATGATTGGTTTTAGGGCACATTTCCAACAAAAACATCTTTGTACCACCTAAAATCATTTAAGATGGGGCATCTTAGATTACTTAGTTGATCATGTATTCCCGGAGGTTACGTTACTTGGTGTTCCTATAAAGTATTCAATTATTGTGAAGAGAAATGTGTTGACTGCGTCTGGGACTCCCATACCAATTATTTCATCAAATATAGGGGTTCCATCTTCATCCCTTTTTACTGCATGTTTTATTACATTCTAGATTGTTCAGTGAGATGTTTTTCCCACCATGAATGTAACATTCATGTAAATCCAGTGATTAAGAGATCAACAACTTCTGGTTGACTGAGATTATGATTGGTAACATAAATGTTAGCAACCGTATATACATGTTGCAATTTGTTTAAAATTTCTTGTTTAGATAAACCATCTATATTCCATTTATAGAGTTTATCTACCAACACTGAGAATTGACTGTGGAAGTTTCTTTCTTCAAATTGAATACCCATATGTGTTGGCCTTGGATACCAATTCTTGGAAAGACTAGTTAGATTTATTTTGCCTTTGGTTGTTATTCTTTTTAATTTGAAATTTTGGAAAGCTTCTTCCAATTTTTCGATTGCTTTACTGTCTTTTGATTCTAAGTTTTTAGAGGTTATTTCTGATTGTGATCCTTAGGGGGCGTTTGTTGTGCCAGACTATCTCAGACTGGATTAGCTTCAAGGACTAAGTTGGACTGGCTTAGACTAGACTAAATTGGACTAACTTAGTGAAGCGTTTGGTGCAATATTGGACTAAGAAGCTGGATAATAACAAATTCTAATATTATATTATTTAATATATAAATTATTAATATTTTATTATGATCTTATCTTTTTCTCCATCTTTTTCTACCATTTCCATCCCACTCTTTTCCTCTTCTCTCATCGTCCCACCCTCTCCCTCTTTTTTTTCCTCTTAGACCTCTCAATTCATGTCTCTTTCTCATTCCTGGTCAAACTCCTTATTGATTTCAATCTCTATTTCTCTGTCCTCCCTCCCTCTCTAGCTATGCGTTGTTCGAACGGAACCTCATGGCTTCAATTTTCCCGACGAGTTGCAGGTTTCCCGATGTGTTTTCCGGCCAACCCTCGTTAAATTGGATGAAGTTAGCACCGCCAAAAAATTCATCACCATCCCTGGACCGAGATCTTAGCTTTGAATGCTCGAATCTGTCATGGATTTGAAGAAGCCCAAACAAGCCGAGACTTCCAGGCCATTTTCCGACCACATTCGACCACATTTTAGCCTCGATTCAGGTAAAATCGTAATCTTGTCACTCCCAGCTTCAATTTGGTATATTTTATATGAAAGTTGCTTCTGAAATGGATCTGAAAGAGAGTCGGAAAGTTAATGATTGATCTACGTGACCGGAGATAACGAGGAGTCTGTCGGGAGTGATCGTTGAGCATGACGAGGACGAGAAAAAGAGGATAGTCTTAGCTAGTCCCATGGTTATTGAGGGGTTTCGCTAAGACCTCTTAGTGAGGGGTTTCGCTAAGACCTCTTAGTGAAGGGTTTTGTCCATGCTAGTCTCCTTTAGTCTCATTAATGTTAGTCCCAGCATGGAACAAACACAGTATTGGACTAATAGCTAGTCCAGTCCAGTCCAATCCAACTTAGTGAGGGCAAACAAACGCCTTAGTGTCTTACTACATTAATGGTGTTTTGTTCCCCTTCTAATTCCTTCAACATTTTGGTCTATTTTTCACTAGTTGAGTTTGTCTTTAGAGCTATTTTACTGGATAAGCACATCGAAAATTTACTAGGGATTTTTCTTTTGTTATGATTTTTTGTTGTGGTAGTTTGTCTATTTTACTTTCAATTTATCTAACTGTTTTCCTATGACATGCAGGCTTTGGTTTGTGAAATTGTTTTGTTTTATGACTGGTTTAATTCATGAATCTTCTTTAGGGATTTTACAAGGTGTGGCTGTTACTTTGTATTTGAGGTGGTGATTAGTATTGTTTCTTGTGGAGGGTGACTCAAAGAAATTACTGTTCTGTCTTGTTTAACCCAATTTTCTTTTTTTATTCATAATATTCTTCAACAAAATCGAAGAAGAATATATCAATCTTGTGTTTATTCATAAAAATTTTACATTTTTTTTAAATATCTAATTTTTTATCTTGGGTGTAACTTTGTCTGAATGTTTCTCTCCTTGGTATATTTTCTCCTGCTTTGACGTTAGCTTTTAATGATTTCCAATGTATTTTAAATGGCTTGTTCAAAACTAATAATTGTTGGTTTACTTCAAAATCAGTTGTTGTTGGTGAAATCAGATCTTCTTGAGTTTGGGTAGTTTTGGTTTGGACTTGGTTTTCATAGCAAGGGTGAGCAACCTAAGAGTTTGTCCTAACTGATTTGAGTCTCATATTTATTAAATCATTAATTAATTTCGGTCACGTTTTAATATGTATGTTGAAGTAGATCCAGAAAAAAGAATTTCTAACTGGTTCTTTGGACCTTGTTGATTGACTTAATTCTTGAAGTTTGACACTCGACTTCCTAGCAAGGGTGTTGAAATTGATTTTAACTGCATCATTGTTCTATGTTGTCTAGATTGACCACATTGTTTTGAACATCAACTAGTTTACTTTCATTAATTAGGAACCAATTTGATGGTAAATTGACGTCTGGCGATTTGTGGCATGGAAGTTCATGTTTTGATATTGGCATTTTCTTGATTACTTTGGATTAATAAAGTGTATTTTCTAGGACTTTTGGCTATGACTTGGAAGTTCATGTTTATAGCTGTGGACTTGTAATGGATTCTGAAAATTGGACACCTTCCAAGACTTGATAAACAGAGGTTTTTATGTTTAATGTGAGTGATTTTAAGATATGTGGGTCTGTTAGGCTTACTATGAGGTCTGGGAAACAATTGAAATGGATTGGCCAGTTATATAGGCTTGACTCGATCATTCCAAGAATGCTGTCACTAAAGTCAATGAATCTTACATCTTGGAGACATAACAAGATAGAGGTGTTGAGCCCACTTCTTGTTAATGATTTTACTGCGATCTGTAAAAGACCAATGTAAATGTAATTATGACCGTCATTTCTATGAGCTCTTATTTCTTTCTGCTATAATAGTTGACAGGTTTTATGTTATTTACTGAGGGCATAAGCTTGCTCAACTGTTCATACAGTGTTCACTTTTAAATGAATAGAGTGACCCTTTTTTTTGTATAAATCACTAAATTAATGAATTTAAATCTGTTCATCTACAAAAATCTCTGAATCGATGCCGAATTTCCAAAGTTTATCGAGATCCAAGCCGTTGGCTTTAAGGAGGGTGATGGATTCTAGGACATGGGGGTCGGCTTCCTCGTCAAAACCCCGAAAGTCAAACTCCCTGGTGCCGCCGACGTCGCCGCTTTCGTCAAATGGGTTTTAGGGATTGGGTGATGGAGGGTGCGAGAATGGAAAATATAACTGATGTATTATATTGAAATAAAATAGTATTTGATGTATAAAAGTGAAATATTTTAAAAATGTTGTACTACAAACCTGAGGTAGTAAAATGTAATTTACTCAATTTTTTTTTCCCAGATTTTTGCAACTTTTAAACAAAAAGGGAATGAGCCCTGATGCGCACCTGCCCGACAAAGCCTAGGCGAGTTATTACTAAAACATGCATTTGATTTGTTGAAAGTAGACCTAGGAATAAGAAACAAAACAGTAAAACTCTAAAAAGGATCAAAGTAAATGCCATGCCGGAGTGACGATGAACAGAATGAATCCTCAGAAGCTCTATACCACGTGCAGCAAACAATGACAGACGCTGCATCAGTATCCAGCTTCCACTAGTAATCCCTATAGTATACTGACAAAGTTTAGAAACTAAAACTATAAGATAAATCCGACATGGGTAGTTTGCCAAATCTTGTGTGTGATTATAACGAGTTGGAATACCATGTCATGAATGTTGTTGTGTACTTATACCGAGAATTGTCGTTTTATAATGGAATCTCAACTTCCTTGGGTTTTTAGACGTAAAACCATGTCAAGAATGTTGTGATACCACTTGACAATCAATCAATCAACAAATCTGTTCGAAGTACTTAGCTTTGCCTCATATCACAACATTTCAACAAATTTCAGCTTCTTCCATATAACATAAGTTAACACTTATTGCTGCTAACGAAATTTTATCAGAATGTAAGAATTTGCAGTTTACAGTAAAAAATGAATCGCCTAATTGTGATATCTAGGGTTTCTCTCTTTTCTGCCCGAAGAATTCAGAAGTTCATCAACTAATCTGTAATTCAGTTCTACGGGAAAATTACGCTTTTAAATACAAATATGTTACAATGTCACCAAAATACTTAATTAGCCACCAAAAGGAACGGTTTAAACTTAAATTAGAGAAAAATATGAGGCGACGATAACTCACCAGTCACCAATAATCTTTGCATGAGCACTGACCACTAGAAATACAATGAAATCCGGAAGCATCCCTGACATAGATTGCTCTTCTTGTGACAATCGACATGTATTTCAAGAACGCGTGGCAGTCTCCACAAAGGAGGATATTCTTCACTACGCGGATTGGTTTTCCAGGCTTCATGGTCAGTAGGCCATAGGTTGCTGCTAACTTTGCACTGTGATAGTACAAGAAATCTTTCTTCTGGTGCTCTTCTACTTCATGAAGAACAAAGCTTGTGTCTGGCACATAACCGGCTTTTATGCACTCTAAGATGAGTATTTCCAATCCACTATATATGTCTTTTGCTTGGGGATGGGATTTATCTCTTGCATAGAATGGATGTATCTTGTTGTTATGAACGATCCAACTTTGACTTGGGTGTTTCCGGAACCCCTTTTTCCTCATATCCTCCCTAACCATTTCGGAGCAGTGCCATCTTCCAGATGCTGAGTAGAGATTTGATACAAGTATGTAGGCAGATGGATCTTTGGGCTCCATGGCAAGGATACGTTTCACAACCCTTTTTCCAATGGTTGTATTTGTTTGGATTCTACAACTGTCAAGCAAAGCTCGCCAAACAATAAACTCAGGCTCAAAAGGCATCTTACTGATTGTTTCCTCTGCTTCATCCAGTAGACCCCAGTACCCTAGAACACCAACAAAGGAGGCAAAGTGCTCTGAGGTGGGTTCGATGTCATAAACAGTTTTCATGGAGAGAAACAAGCTACGACAATCGTCAACTAAATTGGATGTAGTGTGTCTGTATGCTGAAATAATCAAAATAAAAGTAATCTGATCCGGTTTTATGCCAGTCCTCTCCATATTTGACCAGACAGCCAAGGCCTCATCGCCTTGTCTGTGGAGAAGATAACCAGCAAGCAAACCATTCCATGAAACTATGTCATGAGTGGGCATCGTATTGAACAACTTGACTCCGTCTTCCATGTTCCAACACTTAGTGTACATGCTAATTGTGGCATTTCCGACTCCTAGATCAGTTAGAAAACCGCACTTCAAAGCATGGCAGTGGATTTGTTTCCCCAGTTCATTTATCCCTAAAGTTCCACAAAGACCAAGTAGTGAAGTGGATGAGACTTCATCCATAACCATTCTTCCTTCAGATTGATGGAGGTGGAAAAGAGAAATTGCCTCGTCCGGTTGCCCATTTCGAGAATATCCACCAATCATTGATGTCAAAAGTACAGAGCTATCCTGCTCAGGCGGCCACCAATGAAACAACTTTTTTGCATCTGTCATCCGACCACACCTTGTATACATATCAAGTAATGCAGCTTCAATACAAGCATTTGACCCAAAATCAAACTTGATAATTAACCCATGGATTTGCTCACTGGTTTTACAATCCCTAAGCAAGGCACAAGCGTTAACAACACTTGTCAAAGTGAAGTCTGTCATCTCCATTCCCTCCTTCAACATTTTTGTAAATAAATCCAAAGCCCCCAAGCCTTCACCATTTCGACAAAAACCAGCCAGTACAGCATTATGAGAAACAGAATTCCGCTCAGGCATGTTATCAAACATCTTGATAGCCAAATCTACCAACCCGAATTTCATGTAGGCTGTAATCATTTCTGTCCACGTAATAACGTCCTTCACAGGCATCCTCGCAAACAAAGCATTCACACCGTTTACACTCCCACACACAGCATAGAACCTAATAAGGGCATTGCTAACACTCAAATTGGCCTCTAAACCAATTTTGATAGCATGAGCATGAACCTCTTTACCTTCTCTGAAAGCATTGCTCCCAGAACAGGCAGTCAAAAGGGTTGAAACTGTGAAATGATCGACTCCAAACCCCTCCGTTTGCCGCAGTTCACGAAACAACTCAAATGCTTCATCATACATAAACTCCTTCACTAAACTCGACATAACAGTATTCAAAGACGCCGTGTCTCTCTCGGGCAATTGATGAAACAGTTTAAGCACATAATCCAAACACAAACATTTACCATACAAACCCATAAGCGCATTCGAAACAAAAACATAATCCAAGTACCCCAATTTGACCACCAAGGCATGAACTTGCAAACCCAAATCCAGCTCGAGAACCCGAATACAAGCAGTTAAAATTGCAACAAAGCTGTACTCATTGGGCTTAATACCCGAATTCCTCATCTGGAAGAAAAGCTCCACAGCCTCCTCCTCTCGACCCGCCTTGGAAAATCCCGAAACCAAAGTAGTGAAAGACACAACATTTGGGCAGGAAAGGCTTAGGAAAACCAGGTGAGCATCCGAAACAAGGCCCAGCTTGAGATAAGCTGAAATGAGGGCATTGCCAAGATGGGTATCTTCTTGAAGCTTGAGAATTGATGCGTGTGCGGCCCTGGCGAGTTCTCGGTCGCCGTGACGGGCGGAGAGGCGGAGCAAATGAATTAAATGGTGGAGGAATTTGTGGGTTTGGTGGCGGTCATTGGGAGGGTTTGAATTCAAGAGGGGTTGTGGGGATGGGAGGGACTGGAATTGGATTTGGGTTTTGAGTTTGGGGACTGAACTTGGAGAAGAGAGAGAGAGTGAGAGAGAAGGGTGAGGGTTTAGTGAGGGTTTAAGAGGAGGAGGAGAAGGGGAGTGAGAGAAGGGGCGTAGGGGAAGAGAAGAACAGGAGGGAGGAGGGGGAGGAGGTACGGAGGCAACGGCGGCGGTGGGTTGGATAAAATTGATGGTGTTCATTTGTACCCGAGGTGGGCGACAACGACCATAACCATATAATGTCAGCACAGAATAACAGATGGCGTCGGGACGAAGCTTAAGCTTGCTTTGGATACTGGAATTCACCAGACAACTGATATTGATTTAGTAAGAGAAAGTTCCCCTCTAAAAAATGAAATAATCCAAAGTTTATTTAATCCATCCAAGTAAATAGTAATTAACTTTAAAGAACAGTAATTGGTTAATACATTTTCATTCCTGAAAAATAAGCTGATCCAAAATCTAGTTAATTCGTATTATAATATTATTAATTATTTTATAAAATATAAATAAAAAAAAGAGAGTTTTAATAAAAATGATATTTTACTGTTTATTTTTAATCAAAATGACATTTTAGGTATGAAAAGTTCAAAATAGGTCAAGTTCTTTTCTTTATTTACTCTTATGTCATTATTTCATTATTGTAGCAAAGTCCACAATGATGTTGACATTTGTGTTTGAACATACATTATTTTACATGATACTATTTAACTTATGTTAATTTGTTGCCAACTCTTTATGATTTCATCATGTTGTTGATGTTATGCATCTCTTCTTTTGTCAAATTGTTCTAATACTGTTCATCGCCTTCTACTAGCTCTGTATCTCTTTCTCTATCTTCTTTCACCTTGTAATACATATTTTCTGTTTCTTCTTTGAAAATTTGAGGCTTCCAATAAGGCTGATGATTGAGTTTTGTCTTACTGTAAATATGTATTTCTTTTTCTTCTGCTACTAGTAATATATCATACCTAAAATCTTCACACTCATCTAAGGTTAGCATTTGAATCCCTCGAAATCTTAGAATATTTTTGTACGGAGGAGTCCACCTGTGTAGAGAGATAGAGGATAATCTAAATGACTCTTCATTAATCATGGCTATATGCATACCTTTCTCCTTATGCATATGTGCATACTAATTTGGAGAACTACTAATAAAACTTATGCAAATTTCTTTCCATTGTTCTAGATAATCTTCTGCTACTTTTATAAGTTTTTCAAGAAATGATTATAGTTAGGAAATATGGTTAATAAAGATTTTATCAAGATAGCCAAACTCTAATAGTAAGGTTGGGTTAACTTCTACTACATTATACTTTTTATGATGATCATAACTAAAATGTCATGGTTTAAAATCTCAAGTGTTAATCCTGATCACAGCTATGCTAACCTCTAGTTTACAAATACAACTCTATGTATTATCATAAAGACATGGTGGATATATCTTGGTAATAATATTCATTCCTGGTTTTGGATCAAAGATGGACTGATACAAAATATACTGTAATTGTAATTGTAACTCTTTCAAGGACTGTGATGCTCTACTCAGGATCTCATTTTGCATATCTAGTGGCATTATTCTTAATTTTGCTTTTGAAATTTCTTCTAATAGGATACCATCTATTATTAAGTCTAAAGATATGTCCCTAAGAAAACTTTCATATCTTTCTTATTTTTCTTTGTCACTCAGATGCTAATACTGCTCATTATTTTGATGTTGCTCCATTTCAATGTCTTCTTCTAAGAGCTCAATCTTAATCTCTTCTATGGGCTCATTAACCTCTTGTTCTTTGGGGTCAATAATCTATTTTTCTTTATTCTTATGCTGATCATTTTCCAAACCTATTCTCTTTTCAAGGTGTCACTTGCCTTTTGCTTCATTCTAAGATATTGGAGTTGTTGGTTCATTTTGGTAAACTTACTAAGCAATGACTCATGATCTCTAGAAATAATTTGAAGGTTGTGCTCAAGATAATGAATATGATGTTGGCTTTGATGGAAATTAAAATTAAAGCTATCAAACTCTTGTTCTCATGGCCCTAATTAGTTTTTCATGACCTAGCCTCATGCTTGGCTGTTTGATTTGGAATAACCTGTTGCCTATCAGAGAGTTTTGGTACCCTTGACCTATACCTCAGAGTTGGATTTCTGATTCCTTCAACAAGAGTGCCATTAAAGTTGAAAGTGGGTACTGGTGATGATGCTAATCTGCTTATACTATTTTGGAATCCATTGAATGATGGAGGTCCATGGTGTATCATTATGCTATTGAATTGTGTTCTTCTGCCTTGTGGTCTTGTGTTATTTGAGGATGATGGTCCACAAACTTGATCTAATTTTTCAGCCAAACTTAAAACTAATTGAATAATTAAATTATTTTGCCTAATGGGAATATTACTATTAGCTACTCGTGTTGAAAATCTGTTAAACCTACTGGTTCTTTATCTCGCATACTAATTTCTTTCAAAGCTTGGATATATTTTCTGCTAGTTCTAAAATAAGTCATTAAACTAATAATCTATCTATTTTATTATGTAACTTATCCACTTTTTCACTCAACTCTTTTTGCGCTAATTGAATTTTTTGAACTTCTAATTTTAAATGCTCAATTATTTCTAATGATTTGAGTTCTACTTGCTTAGGCTTACTATTTATGAGGTCAACAAGCACTTTTATCTCTCTTTTGCTAGGAAACCTTTGAATATTTTTATTATTATCTTCTAGCTGAGATGTAATATAATCTAAATTTTGTCTAATTGTTTTTATGATATTTTTCTGAAAATGCTTTAACAAATGATTATACTTATTATTTTCTAATTTTATATTTTCTGTTTGACTAATAATAAGATCTGCGATACTATTGGCTTATGGATTTTCTTCACTATGCAAAATATGATTATGTTTTCTCAAAGGAAAATAACAAATTAGACTATTTTGGTCTAAGGTTATTTCTCTTTTTTGAGGTTCACAAATTTCTAAATTAAGGTAATCTATCATAAACTACAGCCTACCTTTCTCTAAAATTACAGCTAACTGGTTTCTTAAAAACTCTTTTTCTTCTCTCAAGGTCTCTAAAACTTGATATGTTGCTCTTTTTGCTTCTAAAACTTTATGTTGCACTTCTGTATTATTATATTTACTAATAAATGAAGGATGTTCAAGATAACTAAGATAAAACTTCTGTTTCTTCAAAGTCCTGCTAATTCTTTTGGATATGTATGTTAATCTTTGATAGGCGCATATTCATGCGACTTAATTAGCTTGTTCTCGTGCATTTATGTTGTGTTTACTTATCTATTTCAGTGTTTAAGGCCACTTTTGTGTATTTTCAGATTATAAGGCCAAAGTGTGCAAGAAGATGCAAATTGGAGTCTTTTGGAGCGAAAGAGGAATGAATGAGTTGAAGACTTGAAGAAACGACGAATTCCTACGCCAACGATGAATTCTTACCAAAACGAAGAATCCTACTCAAACAAGGCTTCCTATTTTAGGAAAGTTGACCATAAGTTTCCCGTTTTGGTAATCTTTCCTAATCTTAAACGTCCGTATTTTCTAGCCACTTTGAAGTCCTTGTAGGCGCTTTAGGACACAAAACCAAGGCCCTAGCCGCACCATTTTAATCTTCCCCCTTTAATTTCTGATTTTTCCTAAATTCTAGAAGCCTTTGAATTTATTTTAGTTAATAAAAATAAGCTAGGGATTAATTTCTGGAACAAAAACATTTTTCAAACCCTAGGTTCTACCATTCTAGCCGCATCTCCCATTGCTCCATTATTCATATTAGCCACCATAAAATAATTTCCATCACAGCCGCAGCAGCCCCTTCCATTCCAAACCAGCGGCAGCCACCATTCTTTATTATTCTCCCATTCTAGCTTCAAAACCTTTCCAGCCGCAACACTACTCCATAACCATTAAAAAAAACCATTCCAGCCGTGGCAATTCATTCAGCCATTTTTCTTTTACTCCATAATTCCCATTGCAGCCGTGCAAAAAGCATTCCATAACCTAACACACTAAACAGCCGCACCCTAATTGAGATTCCACATATTTTCACAAACAGCCGCATATTTTCCCAAAAACTGTGCAGCCAATTCCAGATTTTTCCACACCTTCCCCACCATTGCCGCACCACTACACCTCCATAAATCCATCCCCAACCCAAAATAACATCAAAATCATCCATTTAACCTCACTGCCGCATCAAGGAGAAGAGGAAAGAGGACTTAGACGCGCAGAAATTCAAGTGGATTCGTTGGGCGTTCTAGGTGTAATCCATCCTTTGTTCTTTATGTTTAAATTCAATTTTATTTTTCTTGTTGTGACCATGAGAGGCTAAATCCCCCTAGTTAGCTAGGGGGTGATTCGAAACCATGTTTATGCTTGCAATATGAATTGATTACTTTTGGTTGGAATTTCATGAATGGTGAATTCAATTTGTTTAACTGCTTGATCGATAACTTATTTATGTATGTTGATTGAGAGTGCACGCTTAATTTTCATGCATGAATTTGACGCTAGAATATAAGTGAGTTTCACCTAATAGTTATGAACTTATATTCACAAGTAGTGGAGGTTGCTTATAAACAATCGTGTTAATTGAATTCCTGGCAAGAGTATCATGCTTTTCATAGTTACAAATGCCTTGTCGATGCTTATAATTTCCAAAGAACGTAATGATTCTAACTTGTATCTTTATCATGCTGTTCATATAGAGAACTTGTTAGGAATAATTTGTTTGCGATGCATATTCATCCAATTCAATGATTCTAGGGAAATTTGAAGGTTAATTTAAGCGGACCTAATTAACTTGGAGTGTCGAGTTTCATAATTTATCGAAAGACCAACTGAAAATCAAATTGTATGCAAGTGTGACATGTGTGGAGAAGAACCTTCTAGCTAGCATTCATCCATATTTTCATCACATTCATATTTACATTCTGCCTTTAAATTACAATCGTTGCATTTAGTTTAATTTCGTCAAAACCTCAATCCCCCTTTACTTTAGTGTCCAATTTAGTTAGAAAGTGTCTTAGTTTGTGTTTATAAGCGTTTTGTATTCTTTGAGTCTGTTGATTTGTTTTAGTGTTTTATTGTTTAGCTTTGCATTCTTTGAGTCTAGTTTAGTGTTTTTAACGTTTGTTTTACGTTTTTGAGTCAGTTTCCAAGTGATTTAGTAATCCCTCCTAATCCCCGGTCTAGAACGATCCCTACTT